CTTTGGAAAGATCTACCATAGGGTCGATATAGCAGAGAATCAATTTGGCAGCTGCTTAATTTCTATGGTTTTAGTGCCACAAACCTTTATCAACCTCGTTCAACAGCAGGTATATGCTATATGATTCTACATGCCAAGTGATTCACAATGGAAAGCAGCTCACTGATGCTTTTGAAGTGAAGACAGGGGACAGGAGTTCGATAAAGTTGCCGCTTACTATCACTGATCATCTTCTTGATTGTGGTCAACTGAACTAGAATGGATCGCGCAAAAACTGTGAGGAGCTGTAAGACTCAGCTGTCTGACCAATGCGATGGAAAGACCCTAGAAGAAGATTCGGATTTCCACAGGGATAATCATTTATGTCGAATGTCTTGTAGGACAAATTCGAAGATCTACAGGCAAAAACCGACAAGTTGACAGAAGACTCAGGACAACGAATACGGGACTTCAAATGAATGTGGAGATAACAGAGGTGATGGAGATACCCAACTAACAACAACAAGCACCAATCACGATGAACGGGAGAAATCCAAAGGAAGTTGTCTCTTTCACCTACCTAGGCAAAGCAGCATTGTTTCAACTACAGATGGTGGCACAGGCACTGCACTGCACTGCCAAGATGTAACACCAGCCCATGAAATTTCTGCTTGTGGTTCAAGTCGTATAGGGAGGTGTGGACCAGCTGGTTGGTGTCCCCGAGACAATAAGAACGTTGAGTTGGCCGAAAGTCGATCACAACGGCGTAGTCCTATTCACTCTTCAGCGTCTTCTAAAGCTTGAATATTTGCACTAACCTTTATCTTCAAATTGTTGATTCCCTGACAAAACATTATCTATTTTGATATCAGTAGTTTTCTATTCACCAGTTCTTTGCATACTACGTTGATGTGTGGCAACTTTAGTCGTTGCACCTCTTTGCGAGGTTGTTCTGTCTATTTAAGAAGTCAGTGCTAGGCCATTTTTGGTCATGCTATTTCAGACTAATCACAATGGTTCGTACACATATTTAAACACTCTTTTCGAAATTTTGAAAATTTTGTTGACGTTGCTTCGTTATCCACTTTCCTCTCGTAAACTTTAGGTGACGAAAATATTACTTCATTTCTGCTCATCCAGTCTTTATGTGCTATTGATACAGAGGTAAGACTGTCTTAATAGATTCACTTCCACGCAGAACTATACGTTGATTGAATTTTCTGTGTTTTTATCTGAACATTCTAAAGTATGGGCTAATGGTAGAGTTCGTTTGGAAACCATCGTAACACCAAACTATCACTTTCATCTAATTATTTTATTAACAGTTTTATGTTACTCATAAGTAGTCAACAGTATTATACGTAATTTCTCTACAGTTCTTTGTATATGATTCTGGACTACATATATGCATATTTCTTAAGATGTGTAGTAATTCTTACATTTGAAAAATACTTTTCATCACTATCTGACATCAACTTGCTGACAACTAAGAGTCGGAAAGTGAAGAACTATCGTCCTATTCAAGTGGTCAGGAGTGAGAATATCCAAGCAAAGTGGAAATGTTTAGCTATTTCATAGATCACTAGCTTGCGTAAGTGTTTGATCACCATTGTCTTAGAATCACTGGTTTCTTTAGTGACCATACAACTGGGAAATGTTTTTCCAAATTGCCACCAATTTAAATTACTCAAAGTTTTACACATAACAGCCTAATAATCCCAAATGAAATCTACTTTTCTCATGGTACCTCACAAATGAGAAGTGTAAATTATGCAACAATCAGTCAATCCCTTATAGAAAATGTCGGGTAGGATGCAACTGTATGATTAATTCCTTTTTAATTGTACATTGAAAACGTTGCTAAATATACAGATTCATGAATTTCAATATGTATCCAAAGATGGAACCAAAGGACCCTTTCGATTTCTTATGAATAAATTTATAAATAAATTCATAAGAAATGAGAAAGGAAAATATTAGCAGCGGTAGTAGTAGTAGTAGTAGTAGTAGTAGTACAGATGTTATTCATAATAATTGTGCTACTAATGGTAATAATGGTGACAAGGTTGGGAGAGAATTCAAAGCCTCTGCTGTGTTACCAGATTATAAGGAAGGCACCCGAGGAGCATGTCGGAGAATTGTTAATGAGGATGACTGGGATTAAAGTGGCATTCAAAGCAACAAACTCGCTTAGAAACAAGCTTTACAGCTTAAACGATCCTATTGATGCAATTAAGCAAAATAATCTGGTTTACCAAATCCATTGAAATGATTGCGAGATGAAATACATAGGTCAAAGTAGTCGACCAGGGTCAATTAAGCTATCCGAGTACAAAAACTTAACTAAATCAAGATTAGTAGATCCTTATAAAATAAGAAATCCAGAGAAAAGTTTGAGTATAGCTCTGCATGCAGTTACACACAATCATAAGGTAGGGTGGGATAGAGCGATAGTATTAAAAACTTGGGTGGGTGGAGGGAGAGATTGATAATAGAAACTTTGTTTATCAAATCAACACTAAATACATGGAATAAAAGGGATTCTGCACCTGTTCCTGCTACCGTTGTCATCAAAAAGAAGGCGAGAAAATTAGGACAATATAAACTTTGTCTCGAAGTTGCGGAGTTACCTGATATGAATGTGGATAATAAATTGTGTTCGAAACGATGTTATCCAGTAAATGATACTGTTCCTTCATTGTGTGTGACACTTCTAATAAACAGACTAAAATGGAATTAATACAGGCCACAATGCCCAAGTTTTACTCTTATATTATAGAAACAATTATGAGAACTGAACAGAAGCAGCAGATTTATTTACCATCAAGGCAGTCAGCAATTAAAGGGTGGACTAATATAATGTCTATGTCGTTCCTACCGTAGGAAGGAAGTTGTTTATAGTATAACTTAATGTAATCTGGTTGTTTAAAACAATTGGGTTTTTTTTTTATTAACTTCCACGAGAGTATGAGAAGAGGTGATATGTCTGAATTGTGTACTTTACTCATGCAACACATTTAGGACAATACGATTTTACTTTCACTTTCTACATGTTTTGTATTTTAAGGGTTATAAACTGGCAGTTAAACTGATAACCAATGTGATGCATCCTACTCTAATTTAGCTTGATTTACATCTCGATGAAAAGTCCTGGCTGGGCAGCCAGCCAGAAAACAATGAATTCACATGGTAGTCCAGCTGGTGGGATACTGGGTCGATAATCTGAAGGCAGCTTGTTCGAATCCAGCTGAATTCACCTTCAGTCAACGTCCAGTATCAATAGTCTACCAAATCACAGTTATCTCAATTAGTCAAACTGATGAAGAGATAAATGTCGAGAGTTACAAACAGAGGTAGAATAGGAAGGTTAGTCTGAAGGTTTAATTTACAATCAAAATCCATTTTATTATTATTTGTCCCTTGGGTTCCTAATGGAACATACAGCTTCAGTAGCACCTCCTCATTCCACTCTCTTCTCTGCAAACTTTTAAGCCTGCCTCCACGATAGCCCACAAGCTCTCATTTTATCCTCGAACGGTCTCCTCCATGTCATCCACACCTCACAAGACCAACTCGTCGCTTCCCATCTCGGTTCCACTCAACGGCCCGGCTTGGCGTATGATGTCCCCTGTCGGCCTTCTCAGTGTATGCCCAATCCATCTCCACTTTCTTCCACTGCATATTTGTTGAGTGATAGGTTCTTGGTTGGTTCGTTGCCAGCCAGCCAGCCAGCCAGTTCCTTGTTGCTTATTCTTTCTGGACATCTGATCCTCAGTAACGAGCTAGTGTAGGCAGTTGTTGATGAATGTGTGTAGTTTGTTGGAAATCCGTTTCGTAAGGCGCCAAGTCTCTGAACCATACAGGAGTACTGATTTGACGTTGGTGTTTAAAATCCGGATGTTGTTCCACATGCTGAGTGCAGTACAGAACATCTCCACACTGGTTTCAGGCTAATGAATGTCTATCTTGCTTTTCCGATTCTGACTGGCTTTGATGCCCTCGTCTATGCCGCCTGTAGTTGAGTTTCTCCCGTTGATGGTGATTGGAGTTTGTTATTGTTGTTGGTTGGGTATCTTCATCACCTCTGTCTTCTCTATATTCAATTGAAGTCCCGTCTTTGCTGCCTCGCCTCACCTCTTCTGTGAACTTGTTAGTTTTCGCCTGTACATCTTCAAGTTTGTGTGACATCAGACACAAGTTATCGGCGAAATCCAAGTCTTCTAGGTTCTTTTCCGCCGTCCAGCCAGTGTATCCCCCTCTTCTCGCTCCTCACTGTTTGTTGCATGATCCAGTCCACCACAATCAGGAATAACATGGGTAATCAAAATCAATAGTATATCAATAATAGCACATGGATCTTGATTCGGGTGATGAATTTACTGGCGTATCAACATCATGAACATGGTGATCGGATGTTACTTGAATTCTTTTTCACAGAGTGTTTCAATCAACTGAGCTTTCTGACAATAAAAAACAGCAACTGAAAGCAGTTCACATTTCTCTTCACATACAGTTATATTTATTGTATGTTAGTTGTCCATCGTATTGATAAAATGTGTGTATATTTATCGATCGGAAATAGAAATTATTACAGACATATGAATATTAACCAATAGGAAATAAAGTTTCAGCATAGACCTTGACTAATTGTGTTTAAGGGATCATTTGATTGGCTGACAAATGGTGCGTTCGTATGTGTTCACGTAAATGTTTCTAAAACATATATTTTATATGAAATTCAGTCTGTTTTACAGTATGTAAGTATGCCTAGAGTTTGAAACGATTTTAAGGAAGAATTTGTAACCTTAATAATAAAGATTTTGTTCTTTTTCAAGATGATATTCAGTACACTATGTTGTTTAAAATTATGATGAAAATATACATACGACTGTTGTGGAATTAAACCAAACACTGTACCATCGATTCCTAATTTTTGAATAGAAATTACTGTAACCATCTTTGTTTGCTGTGGATTTTAATCAATAATTGTATTGATATAAAAATATACATATATTGATTTCATGACATCATTATATCAGATTCCTGTTAATAATGAATATTCAGGCAAAATGAATTCAACATTGAACACTTCAACAGGGAGTTTAACATCTACAAGAAATAACCGTCGCGTAATACCTGATCCTATATCTAATACCTCAGCACTGGGTGAAGGTGTACGAGTTGGTACACCAGGAAGTAGTGGATATGGTAGTGGAAATGAATCGACAAACAATCAACCAACTTCACCATTTGGCTCAAGTCCACGTATTTTTGGCAATTGTGCTGAATGCGGCCTACGAATTGTTAATGTAACAGATGCATGTCATGCAATGGGCTATTTATATCATAATTCCTGCTTTGTATGCTGTTGTTGCAGTAAGTTTTCCATGTGATAATTATGAACAATTTTAACATAAGTCTACCTGTCTGAATGACCTATGTAGAGATTTTATTACGGTTGAGTAGTTTATTTATTGCATAATATCTTGAACCAAGTTTCATTAATGGTTCTGCTCATTAGCAAGGGAGACTTCAGGGGAGATTCTTCGAAAATAGGATCTGAAGTGCTGAGAAACTTCAGGACATGATATCTTGTCAAACTGCACAAATGTCTCGCTTATGGGTAAGTGCAAAACACGAAAATCAGGAATTCCTCCTCCTTTCCTTCCCCCCTCCCCCCCTCTAGAACACCATATCAGCGGAGACAATATGCCGTGAATAGAATATCTCATGGGGACAATGTAATTCTTTCAGCCTTGAGTATTATCACAGTCAGAGTGACTGCTATTTCAGAAGCGCTGAGGTGAAACACATTCTCTATGTGTTTATCATACAGGCGACTGACTTTTTCAATTTCTTCGACGAATAACAATTTTCAAGTATAGAAATATTTCATGTCATAACTTAAAATGATTCTTTTGCCTCCTTACTGGAAGGTGTATGGGATTAACTATTGTGCAATAAGTTCTAGAATGTTCATCTATGGATGGTACACAGTGTAGAAACAATTTCTGCAAATATTAAATAACTGAGAATGAATTGACAATAACGACATTATTGAATTAGAAACGTTTAGAAATATCACTCAATTTCTTCATGAAATTCTAGTAACAATGATTTCTAGCTTGGCTTTAAAACGTTCATCTCTTGCTCTGTCTGTCTGTCTGTCTGTCTGTCTCTCTCTCTAAGCGTCAAGTATTCCCCATCTTAATAGGTGTGCTTCAACTGTAAATATTTGCAGTTCACCACCTTGTTGAGGTTCCAATTGATTGATTTATCGACAGAAACCTAGTTTAACTTGTGTTAATCCATTTTATTTGTTTCATTTTGTTTTCTTTCACCTCGTTCTCTGAGAATATATGATTTTGAGGTTAAGCTAGATTTCAGTAGAGATGTCTTCACTGAAGTTACCTTCATTACTTATTCTGAAGGCAGATTCATTTTTTATTTCACAGCGTTAAGTTTTACGTGGTAGAAAGATGTAGGGCAAGAAATGCTCAGCCTCATCCAAACGTGACTAATGTCACTGGCCTACATTGAAAAACTGAAACGAAGTTACAGATATACCACTCTGATGACCGTCAGCAAGGACGAAATCTAGGTCAAGAAGGATTCCCTTTCGATTGATTCCAAGCAAACTAACATCCATTGTAATAGTGAGCCTCATAGCTTGGTGACCAAATTGCAAAATGGTCGATAACATTCGGTCCGTACTCAGGAGAAGGTAACATGGACTTGGTTGCTCTCCAGTGATTAATCAATGGAACGATGGAATTTGGTGAATGCTAAGCACAAAGGGCTACACAGAGAGCTACACTGCCTGTATACTGGTGACTGAATCGTGTATTCCTGTATATGCCATCAAGTAATATTCAGTCACAGAAACGTTTTTATACACTTGAGTTAACTTATGTAATGTAACTCATTTTTGTCACTAAAGATGTCCTTGTTATTACTGAACTGTTTAGACGTGAAATAAATGTACTTGCCACTGGACTTTTCATATTAACCAACCTTTCTGATGACTGACACTGGGTCTGAGACCTACCCTTAGTGATGTTTTCTTATCGACTGTATTACCAAAGTGTATATAAACTTAGACGAAATGTACATTACACAGTATATTGATCCATTCAGTGAATCAATATTTGACGGAATTATTATGCCTATTTGTCATAAATTTTGCATTCGTCTAAAGGTGACTATATACTAAAGTTTTGGCTGAAGGATGTTGGAGGTGATCTCCTGAAAAATTTTTACTGATTAGAATTTTGTTTAATTTACCAGTTTGTCTGTCTGTTGGTTAGGGCTGACTAGTAATTAAACTTCCGTCTCATAGGTATTCCAAGCATAAATTAAGACGAAGTGGTAACTGGTCAAGTCGGTTTTTCTCTCCCAGGGAAAAGAGTGGAGTTTTCGCATGGAAATCAGCATCAGGTAGAAGCTATTTACTTTATTGACTGAAAGAAGTGAGACTTTGGTCTAAAAATGTGCAACATAACAAAGTTAAATGTTAGTGAATAATTTTAGCTGAAGTATTCCATTGGTAAAAGTTTCAGTTTCAAGCCAGGCATAGACGTCACAGCTTTTGGCTGTGCATGTATTAATTTGCCTGACTCCAGTGTGATTGGTTGCTTCCATGTGTGCTGGACATGGTTGTTTGGCGTTTCGCCTCTAGACTTCTACAAAGGGTGTGTAATTATGCTATCGGTTGACGTGGAAATTGCTTCATTATGATTGGTTGACTTTTCTTGTCTGAATGAACTCATGATGGTCACAGTGAGATCTACCGATGACATTTTTGTTTGACAGAAGATTAATATTGCTTTGATCTGATTGGTTGACTTCTTTCTACTGGAAAGGAATTCTGTAAACTGATTGGTTAATTGGCATGATCTGCAGGAGTGTTCTTTACGTGGATAAATATGAATAGGTTCACTTCTATGTCTGTTGCATTTGTGAATTGTTGACAAATACTCTGTCACAAGTATCTCATAGACTGTAAATACCCTTCTGATGACTGCTGTGTGTTTCGTGAAACGTAGGTTTACAGCTTCTTGTTAGTTATCCCCTATACAATACAGCAACAAGGAGCAAATTAGGTAGTAGGTAGTCGTGTAACTAATCAAAACAAGGACATTTTAAATTATTTCATTACGGTGAATGTCTGGGTTAAATTTCTGTCTTGTCATTAGATCACTTCCACCCTATGAGAGAATATTGTTAGTTAGTTTGTGCATATGCATTGTTGTTCTCAGAATACTTGAGTCAGTTGGTAATATCTGTCATTCAGTAAATGTGTATCGTCTCGTATACTCTTAAAGTAGTTTTCACTAGCAAACAGATTTCAATGTGTAAGGGGATGGTAGTTATCATTCAGAGACCATTCAGGCTTCATCAGCTTCTCCATATCAGGTTTCTTTTGGGGCAGCTCTATATACACTGGATGACGTTATCCAACTGCTAACCCAGTTCCCGATTCAATTCACTCACCAAGATTTATACTCAACTGTTATGTGAATATAGTTGCCACGTTCATTGTCATTACACTAGTTGGTCAGCCAGATCTTCACTTTTGAGCTAAATCAGAAAACGGGCGGCGACTAGTTTGTCAGTCAGTGATATCTCAGCCTATTCTAAAATCCATCTGTTTCTACCCGTTACGTATATCAGCTTAATTTGGATTAGAAAACAAAAATTTGATCCAGTGGATTTTGTGATGGTGCTGAACATGTTCTTGTTCATGGTTGTCGAACGTAATTCCTGGCTAGTGAAGCTACATTGAGACCTTGTAAACAGTTGGGAATCGCAGCTGTGTCTGCCAAGCATTAGACCAAAAAGCACTTATAGGTTAAGTCATGTTCGGTGGCAATCAACTGGAAATCTTACTTGACCAAACTTTCGTTCTTATTGGCACTCGTCAGCAACGTCTGTTACGAACCTCGAGGGAACTGATGTCTCCTGTAAGATTCAACCACACTACACCCAATATTAGCAACGTTACCGGCAAGGGAGATTTCAGCCATGAATGACCTCGTGTACGACTAGATTACACAAATTAATTAGTCACGGGAGAACAACTAGCTTCATATTTTCTAGTCCTTAGTGTTGACTAAATTCTATTGATCATTCCGCAGTGTGGTCACCATGTAAGGAAGCTCATCATTGAGGTACACGTTAATAGATGTTATTTAATTGAAGGCAATTGTCAGGAGGTCGGTTAGCACTTAGAACTAGCTAAACGAGTGATCATTCAATGAATTTTATCCTCTTTATCAATAGAAATCTGATACTATAGTTAATGTTTATTGGAAAGCCTAACAATGATGAGACAAAGAAGTGTACACAAACACATCTAGGTGGACATATCAAATAGAAGATTAAATTAATTTCTAGATATTTCTATGATGATGAAAACACATTTGAATAGCCAAAAAAAACAAAAACAATTTTCTAGAATATTTTAATTACATCTGTACATAAATAACATAGATCAATGTAGAAAAAAGGTATTGGCCTACATAATTTATTTATTCAACTGTAACTTATATATTTATGAGTTGAAAAAAAATCAATAAATATGTGATTTTGAATACACTAATAGTTAAGTCAGTAAGTATGGTCGATAATTTGATTAGTTTTAAAAATGATTCAATCAATAAATAAGCTTTCATCATTTTCAAAGCTCTACTAATTCTTAACACAACAAGGCAGACAGAAGTTGGATAGTAACGAAGACAATAAGACATTGTATTTCTTCTAATGAAGGCTGATCAAATGCTGATTGTAGTAGTAATCCAGTTGGTGAAGTTGACAATTTACTTACAATCGATATTTCATATATTTACATGTTTTTGAGTTGATGTTCTTCATGTACTTAGTGATGATATTTCCCTAAGTTCTAATAAGAAGTTGTAATGATGACAGGTACTCAACGACGGTATTGCATGGAGGTCACATTATATTGTGAACTGAAGGAAGTAGGAGAATGTGAACCGTTAGATTCTGACGCAGTACTCAGTGATGACGTCATGCTCACTATGTAACCTGAGAGTCCTGGGTTTGTACTGCTGAGGAGTTCCATACTGGGACGAAATGACTGTCTAGTACTGGGACTTTCTCAACAGTTCTTCAACTGAAATCATTCTGTGATGGACACCAGCCTAATACTAATAAAGTTTCCTCAAACCTTCCAAATGAGTTCTTTACTTGAGGCAGAAGCGTCATTTGTTCAAATATAGGTTCTTTGTTCAGTTGAACAGTCTAAAAACAGAGACTGATGGATCTTTTTTTGGTTCAGCTATTCATCAGAATGGAATGCACGCTTAGCGAACACTTGATTTTTTACAGTATTCAGCCCCGCAAAGATTGGCTAGGCCTGTGACTAATTGGTTTGTACACTTGACTTACAACTGGTGAGTCACCGGTTCGAACCTCCATCTGGATTGTCTACTACGTGGACATGCACGTGGATGCAACTCATTTGCATTTCAACTGTGAAATGCAACTTTGAACAACCTTCATTCGAACTGTAAATAGTGAGCATAAATCTGATGGTAATGACGGATAGTGGTTAGTAGTGGAATCCAGCCGGGTAATACAGACAACAACCTAAAAACTATACTTGTAGCACAGTGAATGTGGTTATTGTGACTCGAAGGCTTAGTGCGTAACTTTCTGGCGTCTGAAGCGACCGGTCCCAGGTTCGAGTCTTTCTGAGAGTAACATCTCTCACTAAGAGGCAGCTACATCCAACTGACGAATCCGTAATGGGACGAAACACATGTCCTGGATTCCATTGCTAGCCACTATCAATCACTAGTATAAAATAGAAAGAGAGGCGATATCAAAGCATCCGCCAAGGAGCATATATGCCAACACAGACTGATCAGTTCAGTTCTGTCAATTAAGGCATAATGGGAAGAACAGCATTAGTGTGCATGAATGCCCAAAGACTTACGGAGATAGTCTGCAAACTCCTTTCTTCAAGGACAAGAGATTGGTTGATCCAAACACCACCACTTGTTTCCAGGGCTATAATAACAACAGTATTTTGGGACAACAAATGATCTATCCTTTTTTTCCTCCCATCTGTTTCATCACCATGAAATTCAATCAGGTTTTTTTCTTCTTTCTTGGTTATAGTGACTTTTTCAGTTCATTTTCTATTTGGTAGGTATTTTACTGTTGTTTTGCAGTAATTAACTAACCCAAATTCAACTTTGTGAATTCACGATAGGTAAGACAACTGGGAGAGTAAATTCAGATACCTTTTGAACTCAGTGACGCATTACGTAACTGTTCGGACTGCATTACTTTGTTGGTTTCACTCTTGAGTTATGAAATTTTGGCAGTTGAACTAGAAATATTCACTGCATAGGTGAAGCAATTGCCTTTTGTGCTAGATAGTTAGAGGCAACCATCAGGATGTCCTGTTTGACCTAGGTTTCGTGCTTATTAGCACTCTTCCTTCAGAAAGGCGTATCTAGATTGCTGACAGCGTTGAAATCCCCACTGAGATTCGAACAAACTTCACTCAATGTTCCAGTCAGAGAGGTTACTATTGAGTTATTCGAGCCATAATAAATCTCCTGTAGAACGGGAATAGGTTCACTGATTGGTCACTGGGGGGTAACCAGTTTCATGTCGACTAAATTCTATTAAATCTAAGTTTAGGGCTGCTTGCTGAATTCCAACCGTCTGGAGTCAGTCGAAGTGTGCCGAGTGGCTAAGTCATCTAGCCTGGTGACCGCATTACAAAATGATCCATGGAATATGGTCAGCACTGAGGACTACACACCATGAAGCTGACTACTCTCCAGCTACCAATCAATGTAACTAGATTTTATATCTAGCTTTGAAGAAGTGAATGTCGTTCCAAGTAGTGTCATCTCTGTGAGAGGGAGTTTCCATCGTTACCATTTATTTCGATTGTTTACATCTGTTTCACGAGATGCAGGCCCTTTAAAAAGCTAGAAATCTCTGGTAGCACTCACAACCAATTATTTAGTCTCCAAGATTCTAGAAAATCGCTGGTCGATGTGTTGAAAAATCTCATTGAAATATATCATCACCTATGTCCCAGAAGCCGTGAAAGATATTCAAGTCATTTGTTATCATCTAAGTATGGTAGTGTTTCGTACACATATATATATATATATATATATATATATATACATGCATACATGCATACATACATACATGCGTACAGACAGACAGATAGACAGGCGGACAGACAGACATGCATACTTACATCAACCTGCAAATGGCTTGTTACATTTTCTGTTTCCAAAGGATTGTGCAACTAGTGTAATGTAATTGGAAATTTGGTCTAAAAGTGTTCAAGTGCTGGCCAAATCCCACGTTAGTTAGCAAGTATACACTAATCAGTTTTTTCGCATTGATTTCATCAAGTATTTACATCTTGTTTAAAAGAGGCATGAACATGCAACTTTTCGTTTGATGATTTCAAAGGTAAAACGATTCTTAACTTTACTGTTCAATATCAGCAGAATATAAGGTAGTTTGTATTCAATTCTTATTGTTTGTTTTACTGTTTATCTTGTAGAGAGAAGTTTACGTGGGAAAGTGTTTTATAAGGATCAGGATAAAATATACTGTGAAGAAGACTATCTGGTAAGCACTTAGATTTTTAAGCTTGTATGCCTATTTACACACACACACACACACACACACACACACACACACACACACACACACATCTGAATGCTCAATACACGAGTATCCATTGTGCAGCTGGTTGGATTGTTGTACTGATGTTTGGATTGAAGGGAAGATTTATATCAGTGGTAATGTTGTTGCGTTCTTTAATAATCGTTTAGCCCTTCAGTGATTTAGCAGATTGCTCTGATGAGGTGGTTTGTCATTGATTGTTTCCTTTGATTGCTCTGTCGTTGACTGTTCATATTTTACTATTGGCTGTTTGTCTACTTGACTTCCTACTTAATAGTTGCTTAGCATATCTCTTATGGATTAATACACTTGGTCTATGTCCAAACATCTATTGTTTGCTAACTCAAATAGATGTCAAGCATATAGGAATTCTCTGATATTCTTTGTGTTTCCTCTATGCAAGATTTTTACATTTTATCCAGGTACAGTGACGTGTCAACCACTTAGTTCAATGGTTCGCCATTCATAAATGGCTTACCACTCAGGAGTATTAGATTTGTAACTATAAGAAGACAGCGCATCTTTAACTGGAAAGCAACCATGATTACTAATTTCACAAAACTCATAGTTTCACCGTAATCGTTACTTCTTTAACTTTACACCCTTACACTTTTCTGTGGTTTGTCGAAGTGGGGATAACGGATACACCAGACAGATGTATAACACCGCTCTCCTACAATCTGGTGAGGCTAAAAGCGGAACCACTCATCCAGTTACTGAAGTGCTGAAAAATGCTATGAAAAGGAAGGCTAAGCCTTGAATGACTTATTCAGGCGTACTTTGTGTAGACGAAAATCGAGGCATTACCAGTACACTTGAGTATTTTGTTGGGTGACGGCTGAAGGCAGCGAGTACTAACACTAGCAGACTACGAACGATAGGAACCTAAAGCGCAACGAGTCGACTCTAACGCAAATCAGAACATCAACCACCACCACGACGATACCACCGATGCACAAAGACAATAAGAGAATACAGACCATTGACAGAGAGCTTTTACTGTTTCAACAACAGTCATTACAGTTGACAGTGATGCTGAATATATACATTTCTAAATGTCCTTGATAATAATAAATCCACACATAGTTAACAACCAGTGAGAGTTCAGCCTTGAGAGCAGAGGAAAGAAAAAGAAGTAAGGGTGTGAAAACAGCCGTGTAGATTATTTTGAGGTCATGGGCAAAACAGTAGACAAAAGCGATGCAAAATTAGAGGGTATATACCAGGATGTCAGTTGAATTTAGAAGTGGGTAAGTATGCTGGTGTTGTCCGAGAAATTGGAACTTAACAGATATTGATTTCAGTATTACTACTACTCACACTACTACTACCACTACTACTACTACTCACACTACTACTACTACTGCAAACCTTAGGTGTGGCATTCAAGTCAGCCAATCAGCAATCAACACATGTATAGACATAGACCCAATCTATCAACCAATAAGAAGATGATAAACGACAGAAAGATCAGAGGGACAGCCAACTTGGGAAGTCTGTACAATCAATGACACAACAATCAAAGGAAACAACCAATCTTAGACCACTTCATCAAGGCAAGCTACTAAAACACTCACGGAGAGATATTGACAGCTCACTTCATACTGAAGTTAGTGCTGAAGGTGTTGTCTAGAAAGACGATGAAAGCTCCATGATTAAACGACCCAGCTCAGAGAACACAATACAACCAAAACCTTAGATGTCCTAGCATGACAATGATGGTTGAGGATGGTGGTCATTATAATCATAAGTGCTTGAAATGGTGACTGCCAGTTTCGAGTCTAAGTGGGGGAAACCATCACTACCTGAGAGATAGGTATGCTTAGCTGATGAGTTCTGAACACCTCCACCGCTAGTTATTCACTAATTCTCATTACTATGAGACTTTAGTGGTAAATGGGTGGTATTTGTAGGAAACTGGTCAGTATTTCAATTTGTATTCTTCTAATTTCATTATCATTTCAACCTAAGAGAGTGTTATACAGTCAATCACTGTATCGTACTACGTGTTTACATGCTGAAAATTCGCCTACATTTACGTCACTTAACTTTTTTCCTGTTAGCTTAACGGAGGAGGTTAGTCATATCCCTCTGATTCATATATAAACAGAAGTGTACAAAAAGCAGTAAAATTGGAAAAGACAGAGAAAATTGTTATCATTACGGCTAGTTTGAGATCAGGTTTATAAGAAAGTTATCTGAGTAATTCATCCATCTAAAGTCTATTTGGGAGATATACACACACCATGATGATGCTCAAGAACTCGGTTTTTCTCCATCTATAATGCAGAATAAAGTTAGTTAATCGTGTTTTTTTGTAGTCATGGTGGTATGAATTGAGTCTATAAAGAGGAGTGTTTGTTGTTTTTGGATTTCGACTATATCAACCAGCAATAACGATTTATAGTAATCAAAAGAGGATTTTTGAATATTTTATGACAAAAAAGAGATTAGGTGGAAGTGATTATCAATTTATTTCCTTCCTGAAGAAAATGATGAACACTAATACAACCATATAATTTTTGCTATTCACTTATGAAAAGGTCAACCTCCAGATGGTCAGTAAGAGACTTAATCACTGAATTAGCTGTAATAGCCATCTGTTATCTGTACTATGAAGTTGTGAATAAACAGTCTGGTAGGTTGATTTTCAAATGTGCATCACCTGAGCATTGTACTTTAATCTGAGTAGTAAGTGAGCAAGTTTCATGTTATATTGATTTTGGTTACTAACAGAGGGGTCCAGGACGCGCGTTCCATCCCATTTAGGACCTGTCAGCTGAATATACATGCACCACAGTGAACGATATTGTCTTTGCTGAGGCTCTAACCCAGTGTCCATCGCTTGTAGTGCCAGAGAATTATCCACTAAGCCACTGGGGAAAGATGGATACCTCTTGTGAGACGGGTACCAGTTGTTGTTATGATACTTGTAATTTCCCGTTGCTATACTGGGCGAACTGCTCGACCTCTGGTGGCAAATGGGTTTGTATATGAATGCCTCAATACTACTGAATGTTCATGATGATATATTGATCTTAGTGAGTAGCAGTGGAATCCAGGGCACACGTTTTGTCCTACTTGGGACTTATCAGCAGGATTTCCTTACACCTGAGTGAGTGGTATTGATGATGAATATTCAGTAGTATCGAGGTGTCCTCATGGAAGTCCATCTGCCAAAAGAGGCTGAGTGATTCGACCCCGTATAGAAAAGGGGAATTACAAGTATCATAACAGCGGTGAGACAACGTTTTTTTGACGTGACAGTGTTTCGGACACAAATAATTGTCCATCGTCATATCACAGTAACCCCACACTTTGTAAACATGGTTTATATAGTATTATTGTTTGTAGTATACCGTCGTTGATTGGACAGAATCGATCGGTCTCTATTGGCATATGGGCTCCTGTGTGGATGCCTGGATATTACCTGCGCTCTAATTATAGTAACGATGGATAGTGGCTAGCAGCGGAATCTAGGATGACCACTTCGTCCTATATGGGACTCATCAGCTGGCTACCGTGGCTTGGTGGTCTAGGGGATAACGCTCTGGCGTTTGAAGCAATCAGTCTTGAGTCACAATCCCAGTGGGAACAACATCAATCACTGAAAGGCAAGTACATCCAGGTGACGGGTCCCAAATCAGATGAAATGCGCAACCTGGATTTCACTGTTAACCACTATCCACCATTATTATGGTTTATGTAGTTCTAATCTTCTCTCCTTATTTCTGATTTGAGTAGGAGAATTCTTCATATATCTGGAACAGATACTGTGTCATTTCTATCAGATGCATTTAATGTTCATCTGATAAACAAAAATTCTGTTGTCGATCTCTCTCTGCATCCAATTAAGTTTTTGATACAATCGCTCTGCCTATCGTACTGTGTTATTGGGTGCAATCACATGGTTAGCTACTGTCAAGCTTTTCTTTAAAGTCTTGACCTGATTACGACCTACCAATCTTGATTGTGTTCGGACAGCGTAATTGACGATGATCGACCGATTCGATATACGTTTCTGACTTCGAAATCACAACAAGGTCTTTGGTAAACGAAATCACTTTTCTCAATTGAATCAGCAGGTTCTTTTAGCCCAGAATGCTTGTCTGTAAGCGAGTTCGTTGGTTTAAATGCCACTGTAATCCAAGCTAACCTTATTCAGAATTCTTCGTAAGGCTTCCAAGATGCCTTCTTTGTACGATAACACAGCAGAGGTTCTGGATTCTTCCTGCACTGTATCACTGCCACTGCTACCATGACTATTACTACTATTAATAATAATTGTAACACTACTACTGTTTTTGTTTTTCTTACGATTCATTATTAATAAATTAATAAGAAATTGTCTGTGTACTGATTAGCATAGGCAAGCGAAGTTGTAATTTACGAACCGGTACACTCTATTACATCAGTCTTACTTATGAAGGTTTTTGCTGTTTCTTCTCTTTTTATTCCACTCCAAAGTATTGTGGATTTCAACAAACAGTGGAGAAATGTTTTGCTTGTGGACATATTATCGCCGAAACAGTAAGTCAGACAATTATTTCACAGTCATGGAGGTGATTGCTTGGCTATATATAAGGTGGTATTCATCATGAACCGACATCATTTGGAGGACCATTGAAGAGCTAGGAGCATTGGACAGCTGTTTTGATCCAGTATGAGACTCTGCAGCAGTACACATCAACGACCTCGCCTGCCAGGGATCACACTCAGGACCTTCAGGCTTTATAGCAAAAGGGATTAAACATCCAGCCAGTGGATCCGTACTACTCAGGAGTCCTACACTAGAAATAAACAGCCGTTTGGTGCTCTCAGCTTCTTAATAATTCACCAACTGACATCAATCCGTGATGAATACAACCTTAAAAATTAAATCCCCATAAACCCTAAACTATTAATATATATTGATTCAGTGTACGCTTCAAGTTTCTTCTTTATATAGCCAATAAACAAACAATCTGCTGTTGAGTTTATCATTTTTTTCCTTATCTTTTTTCTATAATTTACTTGATGGTGGCAAGAAATGGAATTGGAGAGACGTGTTTCGTCCTGTTTTGGGACTCGTCAGTCGGATGAACTTAGATTCTATTGCTGGCCATCACCAAGTAAGTTATATGAAAGAGAAGAGAAGAGAAGAAAAAGATAAAATGACCCGCAAACTGTTTGTTTATTGACTTTATAAAGTACAAAATTGAAGAGAACATTTCAAGAATAACAAGTGTACTTTTAAGTAAGTTAAACAACACTGAGAAGTATACTTTCTTAGCTAATTATTGAAGAAATATTATCTTTAAAGCTTTTTAACAGTTTCTATCTTAGCCTCATAAGCAACTAGTATAATTGGATAAGAAAATTGATGAATCTATACCCTCAACAATTTTTATATGAAAGAATGGATATTCAGCGTTTGTTAGACCTCTTGGAATCCTTGGATTATAACTTCTTTCAGTCATTATTCACTGTATAAGTTTGATTACTGGTTATTAGAATAAAAGACACTTTCCACCTAGTAAAAATATCTTATGGTTTTAGGGTGCTAATGACCATATGAAGTGTTCTTGAGTTTTATAAGGAAATGATGAATACTGGGATATAACTTCAAACTGATTACAATAAGGAACAGGTAGTCCTTTTTATTTCTGTTGGTAAGAATATAATGGTTACATGCTGATCTTCTTATTTGCTGTCCTTGGTTGATCATCAACTGTCTGATATAAGGTTTAAAGTCATGTTATATGAGTTACATCCTTTAAAGTGACAATTTCAACACATTTATGATCTGCTCCGGTCTATTATTGAATATATTCATCAAATTAGTTGATCACCAGTTTGGTCTGTCAATATTCATTAGGTTGGTTGAGTTTTAGCTGTTTACCATCTGATCATAATGAATCAAAGTATCAAGTCATTAGGTAAAATATTAGATTCAACCTTCATAGTCTTCTGTTTCTCCCCAACACACATACACATATCTTAAGAAACCCAGATTCTACTGACAATACTATGAATAATCCAACATCTTTCTAACAATTTCGATTTGAAGCAACTTACGTCAGTTCATCCTTGAAAGTAATCTTAGACGCCTTGAAGTTAATTCCGCTCGTCACATTGAATATATATGTACATAGTTTAAGGTTTGTAGAGATTTCATTTTTAGGGTTGTATTCACTATGCACTGATATCAACTGAAAAATCAATGAAAACCTGGGAACTCAGCAGTACGCACCCACTGAACCTCGACCCATTGGCTAAATGGCTAATGAGTTCACCAAGAAACTGTGAAGTCATGAGTACAACTCCTGTCAGGCGGGATGGTCGGTTCCCCATTGATAAAAAGTCTCATACTACGATGAGGCAGCTGTTCAATCTTCTGAAGTTTTCAATAGTTCTACAAGTGATATCAGTCTGTGATGAATACTACCTTAAAAAGGAAATCCTCATTATTCTCAAAATGCATAGGTGTAAATTTATCGAAATTTAGAAATATATTCCTTGTCTATTAGGACGTCAAAATCAGGATCGGAAAAGCAAGATAGACATTCATTAGCCTGAAACCAGTGTGGAGATCTTCTACACTCAGCATGTGGAACAACATCCGGATTTTAAACACCAACGTCAAATCAGTACTCCTGCATGGTTCAGAGACTTGGCGCCTTACGAAAGGGATTTCCAACAAACTACACACATTCATCAACAACTGCCTACACTGGCTCGTTACTGAGGATCAGATGTCCGGAAAGAATAAGCAACAAGGAACTGGCTGGCTGGCTGGCTGGCAACGAACCAACCAAGAACCTATCACTCAACAAATATTCAGTGGAAGAAAGTGGAGATGGATTGGGTATACACTGAGAAGGCCGACAGGGGACATCACGCGTCAGGCCGTGGAGTGGAACCCAGATGGGAAGCGATGAGTTGGTCTTGTGAGGTGTGGGTGACATGGAGGAGATCATCTGAGGAAGAAATGAGAGCTTGTGGGCTATCGTGGAGCCAGGCTTAAAAGTTTGCAGAGAAGAGAGTGGAATGAAGAGGTGCTACTGAAGCCCTATGTTCCATTAGGAACCCAAGGGACAAATAATAAAAAATTAGGTCTTCATCTCTCACTGTATACTAATAAATAAAGGGGGGGGGGCTTAACATTCAATGAAAATAGCAATCAATTAGTGGGGGGGGGCGGTTTATAAACAATAATTATAGACTTTAAGTAAATCATGAACATGAAAAATTTTGAAAAATCAAAATGTAAATAATCATCAGAGTAAGTATACGTAATTAAAAATGGTAATTATAGCAATATGAAACAGGTTATATCTAGGCAGATTGTATGGTAACTGGAAAAGTAAGTGATGTTTTCCTTCTTGAGTGGTTAGTTGTAATCAATAAATAATCACATAACAGTAAGTTTGTAAATGAATATTAATAGAACAAGAGGACGGGGGAAGAAATGTACCGAGTGCAAACAAACTTTTCCTAAAGTCATTTAGTATTTAAATTTATTGTTTTCAGGTTTGTATTGATCATGGAGTGAAATCAATTAGAGAACTATTGGAAACTTTGTAGCACTTTACAGCGATTTCGAACTAGTATCGGACTCCTCAAAAGTATGTACCCATGACCTCTCCAGGGATCGAAACTTTTGAGCCATCGGATTCCGACCCACTACCTCGATGATAAGGTGCTCACCGCAGATTCGGAAGGTACCGGGTGCGATCACTGGAATGGTTATAGTGCACACTGCCGAGGAGTTCCATACTAGGACGAAACAGCTGTCCAGTGCTCCCAGGTCCCCAATGTTCCTCCAGATGATGTTAGTCCACGATGAACACCAACCTGAAATCAATAAATAAATCCCCATAAACACCCAAATTAGATTATTTCAATTTAGCCATACGTTAATAGTATTTTTATTTATTGATATGCTTGTAATTCTCCATTGTTTCATTGGATCGAACTGTTCGATCTCTGTTGACATATGGGCTTCGATGCGGATGCCTTGATATTACTTAAATGTTAATTATGGTAATTTGGTTGGTTGTGGCTAGCAGAGGAATCCAGGATGCGCATTTCCTCCTAGTTGGGACTTGCTAGCGAGATGTACTTGCACCCCAATGAGTGGTTGTTCCCACTGAGACTGGAACCTCGTACCCATTGCTTCAAACGCCAAGAAGTTATCCCATATGCCATGGAAGTACGATATCCATTTCTTGTACAACATGTATTAGTTATTACGTCTTATTGATGTACTTGTAATTTTCCGTTGTTTTATTAGATCGAATTGTTCGACCTTGCGTCCTTGATTCCTCTGCTAGCCACTACCAATCAAATTACCATAGTTAATAGTATTTCTTGCAAAACTGATACTAAACATTAGTTAATATGGAATTTGTAATGTGCGGTGGTGCATATTTAGCATAGGAAACAATCGAGTAAAGCACATTCAGTTCAGTAGCCTTTTTTCTTTCTCTCCACGTCCCTTTCTAACAACCAGAAAAAATAATGATAAGTGCGCTCATCAAATAAAGTCCATATCAGTCATCTAGTTCACAAGACAGAAGACTCAACACCTCATGTAAAACACCCAGTTGCCTCCAACCAACTAACATCTACTAATGTGTACCACCATGCTGAGCTTCCTAGCTTGGTTGCCACATTGCAAATATGATGATCGATAGAATTCAGTCTGCAATCAGGACTAGACAACATGAAATTGGTTGCACTCCCGTCACCAATCAATACATGTAAACCAGTCCTACACGAGGTCAGTCGTGGCCAGAATGGGTCATTGGTACAGTCACTGAGCACAACGGTTGGTGACGTGTGTTCGAATCTCAGGTGGAACATCATTTCCATCGAGGTTGGAGATACGCCTTTGTTGACGAGTGCGAGAAAGCACTGAACCTAGGTCAGGCAGGGCTTCCTCCCAATTGCCTCCAACCAACTAATACCTGAAGAAATTGTTAGATGTGTAGGTTCTTTTAGCATTTCATTAATTTGATAGTTAAACTGATAATATGACAAAGCAGGTAAATATGTAATAATAGGTGATGATTGAAGGTGAAATGAAGACTTATGCTGTGACAGGATTCGAATTAATGACTACCAGGTTTCCAGCTCTCAGTGTTCTAACAACTAAGCTACGAGACTCTACTGTTGACCCAATTTTTATTTTACTGAGTAACAGAAATGAAATAAAAATTTGGCCAGCAGTCAGTCAGGTGAAAAAACTTATCTATGCATTTTATTTTTTACTTCACATATCAGTTGACAGGAAGTCTTGCAATTAAGTTGGAAGTTTAATCAGCACTTATAGGGTGAGAAGTGCATTGATTGAGATTCAGTGATCGATCCTAGTATATAAGATCGTTTTGCGATAAATAAGTTGTCGCTTGATTAGTTCATTGGTAAAGACTCAAGCAATAAGGGAGGAGCAATACAGGAAGGTAATAGGTTTAACACACCTTTGAAGTGAAGACAGGAGTAAGACAAAGCTTCCATCTACTATCACCGATCATCTTCCTGGTTGT